CAAGTCCTTTTGGTCAACGAGAGAAGCCAAGAACAATGAGTTCACTAGAAGAAATTGGAAATATTCAAACATTCTTTAGCTACCAGCATTCATTTATAACTTTCAAGGTAAGGTGGGTTAATACTTCCAAATATGAACTCTCAACTTTGAAATTACTAAAGACCTCCCATTTCTCAGCTTCTTAATGGTTTGAAAACAATAGAAATACCAAAGTTTATGTTGTAATGAAAGAGTCAGCGATTCTTTTCTTTTTTTCTCCCTCCTTGTCTTTCCCCCTATAGAGATCTATATATTTTGATTATATCTTTACTTTTTTACATTTCTATATTCATTATATACCTATAAAAATTATTTATATACATATTTACATTTTTATTCTTTTCTTCTTGTATTTATGTTTCTTTATTGATGGTGTTAAACTAATTATACCATTTGTTCCATATTCTGTAGTAGTCTGTCTCTTCTTTTTCTTTGATTCCTTTTGTTAATCTGTCCATTTCAGCACATTCTAAGATTTTATCTATTAGTTCTTCTTCAGTTGGGATTTTTTCCTGTTTCCAGTTTTTTGCATGTTATTCATGCTGAAGTTAACATATGTATCATCAAATATTTTATTTCTTTGGGGTATGGTTTTGTAAAGATTCCTAACAGGAATGCTTCTGGTTTCTTTTCTATTTGCAGTTTTGTTATTTGTTCCATCCATTTCTTAATATTAGACCAATTTTTTTTTGCTGCCGGGCACGTCCACCATAGATGGTAAAAGGTTCCTTGAGATTTCTTACATTTCCAACATATTGCACTGTTTTTCAGGTGTATTTTTGCCAATCTTGTCGGTGACATATGCCATCTATAAAACATCTTCAGCTGGTTTTCCTTGTATGCCACTGCTAGTGTTAATTTTGCGTTCACTTGCCATAATTTTTCCCACTTCTCCAAATCTATTGTATATTTAAAATTTTGCACCCATTTGATCATCGTATCCTTCACTGTTTCCTCCTCCATTTTATATCGTAATAAAAATTTATAAATTTTGCTAATTAGTTTCTCTTCTGATTCTAATATAATTTCATCTAATTCTTGTTTCTCTCTATAGATTTCGTATGCTTTTATATGTTCCTTGTGTTTAGATTGAATTTGTGTATAAATCCACCAGTCAATTTCTCTGTTTAGGTCTGTTTCCAACTGTTGTTTTGATTTCAATTTTCCTTGTTGTTCAATTAAGTCTTTGTATCTAATTACTTTTTTAAGTTCTGTTAAATTTGGATGCCTTACTGCTTCTAGTGGTGAAAGCCAAATCAGTATTTTCATGTAATGCTGTTTTTTTATTTTTAGCCAAATTTGTAATAGCGCATTCCTTATTGTGTGTTTTGAAGTAGGTATGTGTTTTGTATCTCTCATCCCACAGGAAAGAATGCCAACCCACTTGTATTTCATGTCCTTCAATTGTTAGTATTCTATTGTTTTTTAATTCCATCCATTCTTTTACCCAGGATAACACAGCTGCTTGGTAGTAAATTTCCCATTCAGGGAGTGCTGTTCCTCCTCTATCTTTTGTATCTTACAGTAGTTTAAGTTCAATTCGTGGATGCTTCCCCTGCCATATAAATTTGGATGTTATTTTATTCAGTGTTTAAAAAAAGTTTTTTTCTAATTTTATTGGAGTGACCTGAAATAGAAATAAGAGTTTTGGTAAAATATTCATTTTAATGGTGGAAATTCTTCCCATTAGTGAGATCTGTAAGTTTCTCCAATTATCTAAATCTTTCTTTATCTGTATTATTAATTTATCGTAATTGTTTTCTTTTATTGACGAACTTCTTGTTGATAGCCAAATCCCTAGATATTTTATTTTCTTCATTGTTTGAATTTGTATAGTGTTCTCCAATTCTTTTTCTTGTTTCTTTGTGAGATTTTTTGTTATTAATTTCGATTTATTTTTGTTTATTTTTAATCCTGCCACTTCTCCAAATTCCTCTATTTTCTTAAACAATTTTGGTGCTGATTCTAATGGTTCCTCTACTATAAACACAAGGTCATCAGCGAAGGCCTGAACCTTGTATTCTTCTCTTCTTATCTTTAACCCTTTAATTTCTTGGTCTTCCCTAACCTTTTTTAAAAGGATCTCCAATGTTAAGATATACAATAATGGAGAAAGTGAGCATCCCTGCCTAACCCCTTTTGTTATGTCAAATTGATCTGTAGTATCGTCATTCATAATTATTCTATCTGTTTGTTTTGTATAAATTTCTCCTATAATTTTTTCAAATTTTATTCTGAATTGCATAATTTTTAATTGCCCCTTTAGAAATTTCCAACTTAAATTATCGAATGCTTTTTGGGCATCAAGGAAAACCAGTGAAGTTTGTTTCTCTGGATGTGATTCATAATATTCTAATGTGTTTATTATTATTCTCATATTATTCTTGATTTGATGGCCAGGCAGAAATCCATTTTGGTCAGAGTGTATATAATTATTTAATACTTTTTTGATTCTTTCCGCTATGATTACTGCAAATATTTTGTAATCTGTGTTCAGCAAGGAGATTGGTCTGTAGTTTTGAATTAATTGGTGGTCCGTATCTTCTTTGGGTATGATAGTAATTATTGCCTCTGTCCAAGTTGTCAGAATTTTTGTCTTATCCAAAGCCTCATTATATAACTCTAACATGTTTCCTGTACGGTTCTATATAGTTCCACCAGTAGCCCATCTGGCCCCGGTGTTTTATTTGCTTTTTTTTTTTTTTTTGCTTTTTCAGTGCCAAGTCCAATTTCAGTTTACTTATTGGTCTATTTAATATTTCTCTTTGTTCTTCTGTAATTGTTGGCATTTCTGATCTTTCTATATATTGTTTTATCTTTTCTTCCTCTACTTCTTCTTGTTTGTATAAATTTGAATAGAATGTCTGGATAATTTCTTTTTTCGCCTCTCTTCTGTATTGGATTTCCCCTTTTTCATCTCTGAGTTGGTATATCATTCTTTTATCTTTGTCTTTTTTTAATTTATATGCCAACCATCTACCCGTTTTATTCACAAACTCAAAATAGTTTTGTTTTGCCATTTTTATTTTCTGGGCTAGTTCTTTTTGATTTATCAAATTTAGTTTATGTTTAATTATTTTCCTTCCTCTTTTATTTTTTTGTTTTGGGGATATTTTTGTAGTTTATATTCTGTATTTTTTAATTCTTCATATAATTTACCTAGATGTTGTTTCCTCTCTTTGTTTTTCTTCTCTATATATGCAATCGTCAGACCCCTTATGTATGCTTTTACTGTATCCCAGATATTCTGTAAGGAGGTGTCCTCTTTTTTATTTATCTTAAAAAATAATTCTAATTCCTTTTTTAACATATGTTTAAATTCTTTCTCTTTACATATTTTTTGGTTCATTGTCCACCTCCTAAACTTTTTTTTTCCTTTCCATTTTATAAGTATTGGGTTGTGATCTGCCCATTGATTTATTCCTATCTCTATTTTTTCTACCCCAGTCCTAATATTCGGCGTCATCCAAGCCATATTGATTCTAGATCAGGATTGGTATGGATGAGAGTAGAAAGTATATTGATTCTCATCTTTGTGTGTTTCCCTCCAAACATCTCTAAAGTTTATTTCCGCAGCCATATTAAAGAATTCTTTTGGAAGTATTTCTTTCTTTTTCTTATCTTTTTACCACTTTTATAATCTTTTTTCACATCTACTATCGCGTTATAATCTCAAATTAGGCAGATATCTTCGTATTCTAGATCTACTATTTTTTTATGTATTCCTTTAAAAAATTCCTGTTGATTTTGGTTAGGGGCATATATTACTACTAATAATGTTTTTTTTCTTTTCTACTTCTAACTCAACCATCACCGTTCTACCTTCCTCGTCTGCGTATATTAATTTCGATTCTATCCTTTCTTTTACATAAACCGCTACTCTTCTTTTCTTTTTTTGCATCAGAGATGTATATAATTTTCCTAATTTTGGATTTTCTAATATTTTTTGGTACCCTTTTTTGATGTGTACTTCCTGAAGGCATATCACATCTGCTTCTAATTTTTGTAGTTTTGAGTTCTTTTCTTTGGTGCGTTTAATCCATTTATATTTACAGAGAGAAGTTTGATTGCCTCTTCCATTGCCTAATGTAGTTGTTTTTTGGTGTATCTTGTTTCCATCCATGTTTTTGCTTTCACGCCTTCTCTTTCTGCTCTTTCTTTTTCTTGACTTTTTCTTACTTCTTTCTCTTGCTCCACTTCTATTTGCTCTTCTTCCTGGATTCTACTTTCTGTTTCTTCTTTACTTTCCTGTTCCTCCTCCTGGGTAAAGTGCAAGTTATAGAATTCTCTTGCTTTCTCTAATGTGTCTACTTTGTATTTTTTGTCTTGCCAAGTGACCAAGATCCCGTCCAGAGTAAGCCATCTAAACATTATTTTATATCTGATCAATTGGGATGTTAAAAATTGGTATTGTTGACCTTAGTTTCTGATTCTTCAGGGTATTTCTTTACCCTTATATGTCAACGTTTCTTCTCTAAACTTTCTGTATACTTCATCTCTAATTGTTCGTTTTGAGAATCTAACGTGCACTTCTCTCGCCAATCGATGCCTTCTTATGTAATTTGTATGTACTCAATATATTTCGTCCAAGGTTTTTCAGAAGAGGTTTGCCATTGACTCCTTCCTAGGGCTGAGAGAAAAAGACCAGCCCAAGGAGCTGGCTTCATGGGACAGGAACTTATAGTCTCCAAGAAATTCAGCATCATGCCTTAACACCTATATCAAACTGGCTTTATATTATTATGATAAGCTTGAGATAAATACAGCATAATTTGTTTTTAAAGAAGTAGGCTAAGACACTATTGTGAATTGAAAGATAGTTACATGCAATGATATCAGTATTTTTTGTGGTTGTTTTCTTTTAGATCTTTATAGAAACACAGACTTTACCAATCTCTACCTGGTCAAATCAAGCCCAAAGTCTCAGTATCATTCCATAATATTCCATTCTGAAGTTGTGTATCCATCAATGCAATATTTGCCTGATGCTGTGAGGTAAACAGATCCAGCAGGGGACAAGTAAACTAGAATAAATAAAAAACATGAAAAATCATCTTAAGATCAGAATTATTAGACCCTTATCCATGAGAAACTAAGGAAATTTCACATTTTGGATGTTGAATATGACATTATCACATTTACTTCCTTAATTGCAATGGCACTGAATAATCATCACTGAATTTTCTCGTTCAGATCAAAGGATATTCTTTTATAGTTTCCTTCTTTTACAAAAGTCAAGGACCATGTTCTGCCTTTCTGGGTTGTTTTAGAGCATGGGTGTCAAACTTGTGGTGTCACGACAGCGCCACATGACATATCAGGACTTTTTTCCCCGTCTCTAAACTGGGTGTGGCCGTGGCCAGCGCATGACGTATCTCATGCGTGGCCAGTGCATGAGTTTGATAGCCCTGTTTTAGAGTCTCTCTTCTCCCATTTCAAAACATGGGATTTACACTATTTCTGTAAGGTCCTGCAAATAATTTAACAACCAGTTCTCTGCCCTAATGACTGGCTGGGTAGGCGTGGCCTTGTGGTCATGTGACTGGGTGGGCATGGCCAACTCAACGTCACTCATCACATCCAGCCCCACCACTCTCCCTTTTCACAGGCCTTGGGCCTATATGCAACACCTCCAGAAATGAAAGAGTTAACCAATCCTCAGTTTCCTGGTGCAAATGCCCCCCCCCCATGAAAGGATGTGGAGAGACCAGCAAAGCAATCTGCTCCCATCACCAAGGAAAGTAAGACATCGGAGGCTGAGCTTATTAAAAGCAATATATTGTGTCATAACAGCCAAAATTTCACACCTGAGATGGCAGAGGCAATAAATCCCATTGACTCCTCAGAAGTAATTTACAATTAAAGCCCATTTGCACCCCAAAAGTAATAAATAAATAGCAGAAGGAGAAGGACTGACAATACTTCTGTGCAGGCAATTCTGAAAGAGACTAAGCTAAAGCTGGATTAACCCTTCCTTCCTTCCTTCCCTCCCTTCTTCCTTCCTTCTTTCCTTCTTTCCTTCTTTCTTTCCTTCCTTCCTTCCCCTCATACCATCTCTTTCTTTCTTTCTTTCTTTCTTTCTTTCCTTCCTTCCTTCCTTCCTTCCTTCCTTCCTTCCTTCCTTCCTTCCTTCCTTCCTGTTCTTTGGAAGGTCAGATACTGAAGCTCAAGCTCAAATACTCTGACCACTAAAGGAGAAGAGAGAAATCACTGGAAAAGACACAGATGCTGGAAAGACTGAAGGCAAAAAGAGAAGGGGATAGTGGATGAGATGGTTAGATAGTGTCATCAGCATAATGAACATGAGTTTGGGCAAACTCAGAGAGACAGTGGAGAATAGGAGGACCAGTTGTGCTATTGTCTGTGAGGTTGTGAAGAAGACATAAACTACCCTATTTCCCCAAAAGTAAGACATCCCCAATCGGGCTTTTGAGCACATGTGCTAAAATACCGCCCCCCCCAAAAAAATAACCCCTCTCCAAAACTATTTAAATGCATGCACAGTCAGTCCCCACCATTTCCTCTGGTTAGGGTTAGGGAGACAGAATGAGAAATCAGGTAAGACGGCAAGAGGAGCCCTGCCTTGCTCCACACACCCCAAAATAATAATACCTCCCCGAAAATAAGGCCAAGCACTTATTTCAGAGTTCAAAAAAATATAAGACAGGGTCTTATTTTGGGGGAAACATGGTAGTGATTGAACAAGTATTTGAGCTACTCTATCTGATGTATATCTTAAGACAAAAAGATTTTTTTTACCTACAAATCCATCAACAGTAAATTCAAAAACCTGCTGAATTGGGATTGTCTCTGAATCTTCCTTTAAACCAAAAATATTAAAATAATTCTTTTTTTAAAAAAAGAGAAAACAAAGGATTTGTAGCTTGTAATTTCATTAAAAAGGCAGCAGTATAGAAGTGAGTTGGGTTCATTGCCTTCATCTGGGGAGTTTCTTCAACTAACCAACTTAATCAATATGACTGTACAGCTATTTCTTGGTAGAAATGCATTAGATCTTACTGCTCTGTATTTGAGAGAATGAAGGAGAACTGGTTTAGTAATGAAACCTTGAGAATAAAATCTGAACTGTGAAAATTCAACATTCAGGATCTACTTCTATGCAGAAGAAAATGCCAGGATGATTGACTTGTTCCTTTCTAACTTTTTTAAAATTCTTTTAGGAAAGGAAAAAAATCAGATTCCATCAATATATGGCTCTCCCTCAAACAAGACTTTTGATGTCATGTACAGGTAACATTATAATTTTAGAGAATGGTCATTAGAGTAACTGTTTTGTGGGAAACTAATCAATATGTTCATAATTGATAATATGATTGATAATATGATATAATTTTCTCTTCACACTGTCATAATTTTCTCTATTATATGATCCTGACTCATCACCATATTCAGCTTCTCTTTTATGGCACTGTACTATTGTTGTGGCACATCTAATTGACCAGGTGTTTCTGTTTATATACAAAACACAGGTCTGCAATTAGGATACCTATACGAATCTGCTTTGTTTCAAGAACATTATAACACTTTCCACCAAAATGGTAGGAGTGCTCCATGTATCACTTGCAGATTTTTCCAAACTCTGATCAGCATCATTTAAGTGATTCTGTAAAAGGAATTCCTTTAATTCAAACATAAATTGATATGTAAAACAATAACAACAATAGCATTTTATAAAGTTATATTTAGAGGTATTTATTTTAATTCTAGATCAAAGGAAGAGTTACAATTCTTCTCCAATTTCATGAATGAGCTCTGGCCTGCGGTAGGAAGAGAAGTGCTTTCTGCCTTTGACCTGTCCCAGTTCCCACTCATTTGCGATCTGGGTGGTAAGTACCACAAGTGTTTTGCCATCTTCTTCAAATGTTGGGCCAATGGGTTGGATGGGTTCTTAACTTCTCTTACAAATCTTTTCATCTGCATTTGGAAAAGGAGAAATCCTTAGCAGGCTTTGAGAAATAGTCCTGTTTTAAAGATGATTAACTTTCACTCTGACCTGGTATAGTATAACAGTCAGTGGAGAAATTGGCTGAGGTGTTTGAAAAGAGGAGAGAGTTCTGAAAAGAAAACAGTCATCTCCATCTCCCCTTTTCTAGTGCTGACCAAGGATGGGAAGGAGAATAGCAGGCTGATGAGTAAAGGACCCTTAAACTGGATTTGCCTGGGAACATTTGGGGGATGCAAGAGATCATGACTGAAGATGAGGTGGAATTTGGTGCCCTTTGAGACGATGTTCAGTTTTTGTCTGTTCAATCTGCATCAAATGCCAAAGTTTTTGGATCTTTTGAATATTCAGTGCATCCAGCCTAAGGAATTTTTATAAGCTGGAAGGACCATATGAAAGTTGAGAATCAATTGACCCCAATCTCTGTTCTTTTTGCCTATTAGTATTTGTTTTCCATGATACAAAGCATAGCAGATTTGAAACAAGATTGTCTCATTTTTGAAATTATTAGATTCCAATTAATCTGAAGTGCAGCTATAGAGAAATTAATAGGCAGGTAGCTTCATAGAAAAAAGCTGGAAATGTACAAAATTTTGTTCTGAAGTTACTTAATTACATTTTGTTGTGTATTTAAGGAAACTTTGATGGCTTAGCTAAGGAATTAATTTCACTCTACCCAAAATGTACTGTGACCATTTTTGACCTCCCTGGAGTAGTGGAAGCCTCCAAGAACCATTGTTTGTCTTCAGAAGAGACCCGAATCACTTTCCATGCAGGTAAAAGATGCAATGTTCCTTGTGGGTTGAACTCATGTCTTGCTAAGCACAAGAAACTTTCACAGGCAGACTGGATTCTGTGGTTTTTAAAGGGAAAAAAGAAATGGTGCTAAATGAGATTTTACTTTTATAGGTGATTTTTTTAAAGATCCATTTCCTGAAGCGGACCTGTACATTTTGGCCAGGATTCTGCATGACTGGTCAGACGAGAGATGTTCGCAGCTGTTACATAAAGTGTACCAGGCCTGCAAACCTGGTAGGTGTTCTTTAATCATAGAAAGGCAAAGTTCATACATGGCTCAAGTTTTGAACTGTAAAATCTCCACTCCCTCCCCACTCCAGGGGAAGATTGCTGAAAATCCCCATTTCCTCCCAATCAGCTGGGACTCGGCAGAGAATATATTGGGGCGGGGCCAGTCAGAGGCGGTATTTACCAGTTCTCTGAACTACTCAAAATTTCCACTACTAGCTCTCCAGAACTGGTCAGAACCTGCTGAATACCACCTCTGCTAGCAATGGCTAAGCGCAGGAAAATTGAATAAAGAGACAAATTCTGGCTGCACAAGAATAAGCCTTAAGAACAAATGCATTCAAAGTCAGAACTGAGAAGACAGCTCTGCAAAAAAGTTGAAGAAACAGTGGACCACCTAGTTGGCTGCTGTCAGTATCACACAGACTGACTACAAATACTAACAAAGTAGCAACAATGGTGCATTGGAATATGTGCAAGAAATACCATTTGCTGCAAGCAAGAACTGATCGCAAACTAGACAAATAGAAAACTAAAGTGCTCTGGGACTTTAGAATTCAAATAGAAAAGCACCTGCCACATACCACCCCAGATTTGTTGATAAAAAAGACAAAAAAGTACGAATACTGGACCTAGCAAAACCTGGGAGACAACAAAATAGAACAGAAAGGCTTAGAGAAAACCACAAAATACAAAGACCTGCAATTAGAAGTAGAATGAATGTGGCAGATGAAAGCAAAGATAGTACCAATATTAATAGGCACCTGAGGTACAATCTCAAAACATCTGAGGCACCACTTGAACACAATCAGCATTGACAAAATCACCATCAGATAATTGCAAAAGGGGGGACTTCCGGTTTGCTGCTGGCCGCCGCTAGACGCTCCTTTGGGATCGTCAGCTTCCTTTGCCCTTCAGAGCCGCCTTCACAGCGGAATGGCGGCTCGAAAAAACTCCGTTTCCATGAGGAAACGGAGATAGAGCCGGCAGGGGTGGGTAGAACTCTCCGCAGAGCCCCAAAAGTTTTTTTTTTTACTTTTGGGACGGAGCGGATGAGATGCCCCATATCCCCAGCCGCTGCTCCGGGCTTTGGGAGACCTCTGCCAATGCAGAGCCAGGCGTGAAGAGCAAGCCTGCGAATTTAACAGATTATTAAAAGAAAATGTGAGCTGGACCTGCAATATTGAAACGCAAGTATTTTACTTATCTTCTAAAAAATTTATTTAAGAGAAAAGAGGAAAGGAAAGGGGGAGGAAAAAAAGCCTTTTAAAATGGCGTCTGCCGCGGCTGGAGAAGAGGCTGAAAGGAAAAGTCCTTCCGTTTTCTATTAATACAATGTAGCGGAATAAACACCACTGGCTACATTTGTAGACAAAACTTCGCTCCTGTGTCTTTTTCTCTCTTTTTTCCCCCTGGAGACTTGATATTGTTATTGATTGGAAAGAAGTCTTTTTTCTTTTAACAAAGCTTGCCTGGGCGGAAATATGGCACTGAAACTTATAAAGCCAAACAAACAAGTAGTGGGGGGGGATTCCCCCACTAACGACTTAAAAGAACAAGTTTTAACTCTTCAATCTCAGAAACCTGATTTTAATATAATAGAATTTCTTTTAAAGGAGATTGAAAGAAGGGATGAGATTGTGAATCAGCATCTTGAAAAATTTAAGCAGGAAATTAAAGAATTGGTGAAATCTAAGTTTGATTTTTTGGAGCAAAATTTTTTAAAAGTGGCTAATGGTTTGTCAGAATTTATGATACAGTTGGCTACAAATACTAATTTATTAGAGTCTAAAATGGAAGAAACTCAAGATAAATTGGACAATAGAACTCAAAAAATTGAAAATGATTTGATAAACACTCAGGATAATAGCTCAGAAGAAAAACCTAAAATGGAGGCTGATCAAAAGTCTGGTAATCTAGAAAATCTGCAACAGAGGATTGAAAGAGAGGTTTTAATGGTACAATATAATTTCACAGAATATGCGATAAGACTGAGAGGTTTGCAGGAAGATAACAGAGATGATTTAAGGAAAATATCTTCTGAATTTCTAGCTGGGATTTTAAAGGTTCAACCCGAGGAAGTGTTTTGTAGGATTGACAGAGTTTACAGAATAAATTCCTGGATTGCCAAGCAAAGGCAATTGCCTAGAGACGTAGTGATTTATTTTACAGACAAGGAAATTAGGAATAATATTGTGCAAAATTCCTTCAATTCTAATTTGCAACTGCATGGAAGAAAGATTTGGATTTACAAAGAACTCCCACCTAAGATTTTAATGGAAAGGAAGAAATTTGCTTTTCTGGTGACTGAGTTAAAAAAGAGAAATATCCTATTCAGGTGGGACGCTCCAGTTGGTATCATATTGAGATATCAAGGAGAAAGATACCAGTTAAATACTGTTGAAAGAGCGGAAGAATTTTATCAAAACAGATTGAAAATGAATTTAACGTCTTCAGGTATAATACAGGATAAGCAGAAGGAGTTGGAAATAAAGGGAAAATACCGAGCTACAGAGACTGTACCAGATAAACTGCCTTTGGACTTTTCGGATACCCCAGCTGGATTATTTACAAATCGGAGAGAAGTGGCATCTGACTTAAATGTGATGACCTATCAAGTCAAGGACAAGCACGGAAACCAATTAGGGGATATACAAGGGGCAAAAAAGAAAGATGAGACACAAAAACAAAACCAACAAGATCAATCTACAGAGCAGAATCAAAACCGACTAGTTGATACACAATCCGTAGAAAGGAAACCAGGATGGAAATCAAACCCGCAAAAAGAAAAGAAAAAAAGAAATAGGTTGCATAAAAATAGAAATTTTTAAATCAAGCAACAGTGAAGCCAGTGACTTTAAAAATGAATGAGTATATGAAAATATAGAGGAGGCGACGTATTGGTCAATATTATCCTGAGGATGGTGACAGGCCTCTGCATTGCCGTAATTTTGGGATGTGAAAAGAGCCTCAAACTGATGGATTTTAATTATCTACTTTGGAACTCCTTTTTGTGCTGATAACTATATTATAATTATCTTGAATTATAAGGCAAAAGAGTCATACTGGGGCATGCAGAAGATCTGGTTGTTACCCACTACGATGATGGGAATTAATAATCCTGATGAAAGCCACAATTATTACTACATGGAATATAAATATAATGTCACTCGGGTGGTTGTTTTTACTCTCATATATATAAGAGGATATTTACTACTGATGGGGGCAGATATGATTGAAGATTTTGAATATACTGTTGCATCAGCAAGCTATGTTACCCTATTATGGATGATGGTTTTGATAATCCAGTGGAAAGACTTTAAAGAAGATATCATATGGATTATAAATTTAAAGTTATTGTCTTTTCTTTTTTACTTAGATATAATGGAATATATATACATGTACTTTTAAGTAGAGTGGGCAATGAATTAAAGACATTAAGAATTGTTGTGTATGATAATTTTGTAGGATAGTGGGTGAATAAGCTAGTTTGCAGACTGATTAGTTTAAGAAAAGGGATTTTTAAGTGATACGTTTAGGGGAGTGGAGGGAATGGATAGAGTGGAATAAATGTTAAATTAGGTTTTACGGGGAGGGCCGCTTTGGAATGCTATAGTAATATATATAGATCAAATGTTATAGTAGGATTTATTGTATAGTTTTAAAGTGGAAGGTGGTTTTGAATTGTTGTAATAATATACAGATACAAGCTTGGGAGAGGAGAAAAAGGGCAGATTATTGCCAAATTGGGAGTTATAATACTATTTTGCTAAATTAGAAGTTACTATACAATGTTATAGTATAATGTCTTTTTTTTTTTTAAATTCCTTTCTTGAAATGTATTGATAAAGGGGAGGTTATAATATTAATAATATTTTTAGTAAGTAAAGGTCAGTATTTAGAGGAGGGGGTAAGTAATCTGTTATGAATTAGGTTTTTTGTTATGAAGAAGTCACGGGGGGGACAGGTGGGGAGGGGGGGTTAGGGAGGGGGTGGGGGAGGGGGAAAAAAGGGGGAAAATTTTGTATTTGAAAACTTTTTCAATTAAAAAAAAAAGATAATTGCAAAAGGAAACTTTACTTGGAAGCAATTTACATCCTGCGATGATACCTTTGATGTAAGTTAAAAATAGGATTTTGTTGAATGTGCAGGAAACAAAACATGAATATTGATATAATATAATATTATAATATAATATATGGGGGAGTGATAGCTCAGTAGTTAAAGACGTTGAGCTTGGTACCTGCAAAGCTGCCAGCCAGAGTTCAAGATCTGAGTGTCACGTGATGGGGTAAACTCTGTTATTTGCTCCAGGTTAGGCCAATCTAGCAATTCAAAAGCATGCAAATGCAAGTAGATAAATAGGTACTATTTCAGTGGGAATGTAACAGTGTTCTATGCAGTTCAGGATACAGTCATGACCAGGGAAGTTTCTTTGGACAACATTGGCTCTCTTGGTTAAGAAACAGAGATGACCCTCAGAGAAAATCTTTACCTTTACAATATAATGTAATGAAACACAAAAATAATTTTGGCAAGGAAAGGCTTTACATGCTCAATTTCTAGAAAAGATTGACGGGAAAGCCTTGGCAAATACTCAGAATATCTGTAAATTGACAAAATATGCAAAAACAACCACAACTGTAGTTATCTTGGCAGGAATAAATATAACATATTTGAAAGAAGGATTATAACAAAATTTGGGTATTTTCAAAATATGTTTATGTTCATTGTGCTTTTGAAATAAGTACTATATATTTTGAAACAGGTGGTGGTGTCTTAATAGTGGAAATGCTTCTTGATGAAGACAGAAGAGGGCCTTTAGCAGCGCACATCTACTCCTTGTTAATGTTGCTCTACCTTGAAGGAAAAGAACGGTCAACAACTGAGTTTAATGTGCTTCTCCGCAAGGCTGGTTTCCAAGAAGTTGAGTTAAAGAAAGGAAGCCTCTTTCATATTATTCTAGGAAGAAAATAATGTTGCCCCTGTTGAATGTTAACAAGGAAATTTCAGTAATCAAAATCTTGCTTTTTTAATTATAGGTATATTCTATTCTTTCCATGTCCACAGATTACATAGCTGATCCTTTTCTTATCACAATATGATTTCACCATAACTAGGGATCCCTGACATTGGCTGCAAAAATCCTGAAGACCAATTCTGCACAATAAAAAGATAGATAAAACTCTTTTTTTAAAAAAAATATTTTTTAATTTTTTTTTCCAAACATAAACATAAAATATATCTTTTAAGAACGAAATCTTGATCTGGTCATAGATAGGTACAATCGCTTACATTACTTTAACAAGCTCTATTCCCACTTTCCCCGTTACATCTTTTAAAATTAAAAATCAAAACAAAAGTTTTTAACACAAATTCTGACATCTTAATATAAATCAGTCTATTGTATCACCAAAAACCTTAATTTCCAAATAAACTCTACTCATTTTTTATATCCAATTATAAATCAAAATTCTATCTAGCTTAATTCCCTTCCTTACATCTTTTAATATTAAAATCAAAAACACAAATTTTAAAAAAATATTCTAACATCTTGATCTAAGTGTTTACCTTACTATTTTATCACCACAGATCTTAGTTCCCAAATATGTACAACTCTATTTTTATTTCAGTTTATAAATCAAAATTCCATCTATATTCCTTAATCTCTAGGCCTATTTCATCAAATCTTTAAATCTTAAACTTTAATAATTACACTTAATTTTCTTAAACTTGTCATCTAATACACATTTCAATTTACACAGATTCATCTCATACTCATTTCGCTTCATTTTAGTTGTCTTCCAACATATTCTTTTTCACCCTGTATTATTTTAGGTATTTTCCAACATATTCTCTTCTATATCTCCAACTATTTGTTTGGCTGATTTCCAGCATATTCTGGTATATGCTGGAGATAGATGAAACTCTTAACATATCACAAAAATTAATCTCTTTATAGATCTTTAGTTCTTCTCATCTTTACATACCAAGACAATCTTCTTATAGACATTAAACAAACAACAGAGTGCAAGAGAAAATCTAAAAGGTCAGGATCAGGGCTCTGAAACACACACATTGCTTTGCTAATTCAGTATTTTTAGCTCTTCTAAAAAGCAATTAAACCCTAGAAATTCTGCAACAGACATAGGATGCCATAGGTGCAAACAACGTAAGTAAAAATATTAACTATAGGATTGCAAGTCTAGCCACTAGGAAATTAACAATTAGTGCTGGGAACTCAAGGTTTTAGATAATGGCTATTGTAAAATAACAACCACAGAAACATTATCTCATTCTTTCTACCCTAGTTATGTATTTCAATATATCTAATTTAACCTGATCAGTAATATAACCTTATTAATGCTGTATCATATTAGTAGTGATTAATTGTAAAGAGGGCTTATAATTTCACCAATATTTCAACTTTTTTATTTTCTATCACTATCAATAAACCAATCTGAATATTGTGTTAGTGCTTTAATTGTGTCCTTGTCTCTGGTTCAAATATATTATACAGCTATGATATTCTTATAAAAGACCTATTCCATAAACAAATCTCATCCAATATTCCAGTTCTCCAGATAAAGGAGCCAAGTTCAGAAACTCTATGACTTTGTTATGAGACTATTTATTCTTGTTCTTTGCTTTCTGATCATAACCAGGTAGCAAATCAGAAAAAGATAATTGTAATTAAAATTGCCTTGAGCTGGATTCTAGCCTTATGCCAGGTCAAACAAATTTAATCCTGCCAACTGATTTTCCCATTATTTGGGGTACTTTCCAGTCTATAGACTTGAGTTGGTCCCAGATAACTTATTTCTGGGGAAAAGTACCAAGATGATACCTTTACAGCTTTATATAAAAGCTGAAAGACAGGGATTTAAAGCTATTTAAAGTGACTAGGACTGTATAATATGAAGAAACTGTTTTAATCCCATTAATAGATAACCTATATCTGAAAATGGGGTCCTTAGAAATTTTAACTGAACCATATCAAAGGATACCACATGTGATATATGAAGAGCTGTGGTACATAGAGCTCATACATGAGCTCTAAAGGTGTTAAATATGACCTTGATGGACCTTTTTATACATGTTGAGTTGCAAGAATATGGATTTCATTTGTCTGGCACAAGACTAATATTGTTCCGAGGTTTGTTTCCCTCCAAATAGGTCCTACAAAGGATGGGATATGATCAGGTGAAAAGGTCTTTGAAGAAGAGTATCCTTGACACAGAATAGTACCAAGGTATTAGCTTAGCCCCAAGGCAACCTTTTATCACCAATCTATAGTCTTTAACAAACTATAGATATCACAAATGTAGATTAGCTAGATTCAACACATTCCCTTTAGAAGTCATTGGTGGTAAATAAGAAAATATTCCCTGTCACAAATGACTTTCATCCTGTGAGTCTCATGGTACAGAGGTTGTTCAGTATTTTCTGTTGCATTTTAACATCTTGAATTTTGAAAATATATTAATTTGGCTCCTCATATAGGAACATCCAAGAAAAAATGTTCATTGGGAGTTCTCTTAACTCCTAGTGAACCATAAGATTACTATTACTCATAATGTAGGCAAATTTTAGTTGACTGTCATCAAAATGAGGCAGCAAATGTCTGGTAAGACTGTATTCCTCTGATACCTTTAAAATGTTATCTTCTCCCCCACCAACTCTTTTAAATTCTTTTAATTGTTCTTTTTATCAACTATTATGCAACCCTTGATCCATTGTGTCATCGTTTTGAAGATACATCCTTACCTAACCCAATGAAAATAATGCATACAGGCTGTAATGTATCAAGTTTCGGCAGGAAGTTTAAAGGTAACTGCACGTTGGTGATTGGCTAGCTCCCTAGCCAGAATGGTATATAAAGGGAGCTGTTCCACTGTATCTTTTGCTGGAGTCACATTAAAGAACTGTTAATTAAAGAACTGTTGTTGCTGACGACCTAGCTTCTGTCTCCTCATTCACCCGACTTAACATTGGCAATGAAGGTGGGATCGAGGTAGACAAGAAGCAAACCAAAAAGAGCTAATCGTGATGAATCTAGTCCGGCGGACAAGCCTACAGTGAGAGCAAGGAAACCATGATGTCTGCTTTCACACTGCCAACGCTGTTCAACCCAGCCAGAGAGAAGTGGGGGTCCTACATGACTCGGTTCAAGTGTTTCCTTGAGACAAACGACCTGCAAGGACTCTCTGATAACTGAAAGAGAGTTCTCTTTCTGAGCCACTGTGGCCCAGAAGTTTTCGACATGGCTGAGTCACTATCTGAGCCAACCCCGGTTCAGTTGGTACCGTGGCAGGTCTTACAGACCACATTACGGGCACACTATGCCCCGGTACCCTCCAAATTTGTGCAGAGATATGAATTCCGACAGCAGCTACAATGAGAGGAGGAACCAATCAGCGCTTACATGGCTGCCCTGCGCAAGGCCGCTACGCATTGTGAATACCGAGACCTCGATGACGCACTCCTAGAGCAACTAATCTGTGGCATTAGAGATATTCGCTTACAAAGAAGACTTCTAGCCAAGTCGAACCTAACCCTTCATATCACGCTTGACGAGACAAGAGAACACGAGTCATCCACTAAGGCTGCGGAGACTCTACAAAGACCGATGCCATCTCAAGCCACATAAAAGTCAGTTCCGGTACACAGCGAGGTGACCCAGACGGACAACGAGGAAGAATCAGACGAAGACGTACTTCAAAACAGAAAAGTACAGATGTGACCCGAAGGATCATCGGTAGGTCTGCACGAGCTGTGGAGGGTCCCACCAATGGCAGACATGCCGTTTCCGAGATGCCAACTGTAGATGCTGTGACAGAAAGGGACATTTGGGGAGGGTGTACTGGGCAAGCCAGCCAGCCAACCAGAAGCAAAGAACTGCAATGAGCCAACCCGAACCGCAGCAACATAAGAAAACAGACAAATACGGCCACCCAAAAAAAAGGCGCAAATTTCAAAGGTTCAGAGACCTGCAGCACCAGAGTAGGCCAAGTGAGCATGGTTCCTGAAAAGAAACTTCACATCGTGGTGGAGATCGAAGGAAGTCCGTGCAAGATGGAAATCAACACTGGCTCATCTCTATCCATCATGTCCTGGACCAGCCTGAAGACAGCAATACCTAGCCTGAAAAAGTGTCAACTACGACCCCAGCAACTGTGGCTACAAGACTACCAAGGAAATTGCATCCCCTAGAAGGCGTCAGCATGTTCCAAGTCAAGTTTGGCCAGCACCGGAAGAAGCTACCCCTCACCATGGTCCGAAGACACCTTCCGAGCCTCCTGGACTGGTTCAAGGCTCTGGGAATGGGAGTCACCGGCATCAACCGTATGAGTGGCAGCCTACAGGATGACCTGATGCAGGAGTTCCAGGATGTGTTCGACGACAGCCTGGGCAAGTACTTGGGGAACCCTATTTCCTTTAATCTAGACCCTAATGTAGTACCCATTAGACTAAAGGCTAGAAGAGTGCCCTTCACACTAAAACCAAAGATTGATCTGGAACTGGATAAACTCATCCAGCAAGGGGTCTTAGTTCCTGTAGATCATGCTAAATGGGAAACCGCGATTGTGACACCTATCAAGCCAGATTGGTCAGTGCGCATCTGTGCCAATTACAAATGTACAATTAACAAGGCGCTCCAACAGAGCGCCTATCCAGTTCCAATTGTACACCAACTACTCCATTCTCTGGGGCCTGGCAAGATTTTTGCAAAACTCAATCTTGCGCAGGCGTACCAGCAGCTGCCAGTAGATGGTGCTACCGCTGACGCATAGTCTATTGTAACTCACTAACTTTAAATGCACTAGATTGCAACTCGGAGTCAGGGTAGCCCCTGGCCTTTTCCAGAGCACAATGGAGTGTCTGTTGCAAGGATTTCCAGGGTTAGTCCCCTACTTTGATGATGTCCTCATTACTGCAGCAGATGAACAACAACTAGGGGACCGCCTAAGACAAGTACTAGAAAAATTCAGGAGCACCGCCTCTGGGTCAAAAGAAACAAATGCATGATAGCAGTACCGTCTGTTGAGTTCCTGGCATATAAGGTGGATGGAACTGGCATTCACCCCACCAAAAGATTAGGGCCATTAGAAACACGCCAACCCCCAAAAACAAAGCGGAACTGCAAGCTTTCCTGGATTTCTACTCAATCTTTCTGTGGGACAAGGCAACAGTAGCAGAGCCCCTCCACCGGTTACTAGCTAAGAATTCACTCTGGTTTTGGGGGAAGGCTGAGGCTGCCACTTTTGCGCAGTGAAGAGGCTTTTTTTGTAGACAGCCTCTTAATCCAGTACAACGCAACACTTCCCCTTGTATTGGTCTGTGATGTGTCCCCTTTTGGTGTTGGGGCCATATTGAGCCACAGACTACTGAATGGGCTAGAGGCGCCCATTGCTTACTATTCCGGCACCCTGTCCAGCGCTGAGTGGAACTACAGCCAGCTGGACAGGGAGGCCCTGGCAGCTGTCTCGGGAGTGAAGGAGTTTCATGAATACTTGTTTGGATGAACTTTTGAACTAGTTACTGACCATCAGCCACTTTTGGGCCTCCTGGCAGGGGATTGACCTACCCCTGTTGCATTGTCACCGCGAATGACTAGATGGGCCATTCTACTAGCAGCATACTCTTACCGCCTTGTATACATTCTAGATAACAACAACAACGTTTGCCAGAAATTATGCAAACGGACCCTTATGGTTGGCTGGGACAATAGTAGGAATCTCAGGTCCCAAATCCTATACGGTTGACATGGAGGGATGGGAGGATCTGGCGCAGGCACATAGATCAGATTAGAAAATGAATAGCCATCAAGATGGAAAACCCAGAAATAATGCCAGTCCCTAACTCTCAAAAACTTCCAATGGCAGCTAACTCAACCCCGAAGTGTTCAGAAGACTTATCTGAGGACTTCAGTGTCCAGCGCCGCCTTCTCGAGAAGTCAGTCCCAGCCGAAGAGATCAATGACCCCAAAATAATCCAGGAGGTTCCATTGGCAGAGCTGGGAGAGACGACAGGTCCCTCCGACCAGCTCGATGCCACACCTCAAACTGAACTGCGCAGGTCAACTAGGGTGCAGGTATGCCCTAGCCACCTGTGTTTTGTATGTAAATATGTAAATACCGAACCTAAGTGTCTTTTGGAAAGGGAGGGGTGTAATGTATCAAGTTTCGGTGGGAAGTTTAAAGGTAACTGCACATTGGTAATTGGCTAGCTCCCTAGCCAGAATGGTATATAAAGGGAGCTGTTCCACTGTATGTTTTGCTGGAGTCACACTGTGAATTAAAGAACTGTTGTTGCTGACAACCTAGCTTCTGTCTCCTCATTCACCCTGACTTAACACAGGCTGGCCAAAAAGCAGTAAAATCGGAAATGCTTCAGACTTTCTGCTGGCTTCCTGATTGATTTTGGTTTTTGAAAGCTGGCAGGAAGTCTTGGAAATCACAATCATTGACTGTGGCTGCCTGGAACAATGTTGTAGTGGCCACAAATTTGCAAATACAACTGGTATGACGATCCTTAATATTTGAATGACATGGCAGTCTTGTACAAATTCCTTAAGGTAGCAGATTTTGATTCAAAACAATTTTCACTATGATGCTCTGTTTGGGCTTATTGAAGTTTACAGAGAGACAAACTGCCTTGCAGACTCCTTAACTAACACAATAGTTCCTCCTTGTGCTTCAATTCTCAAATCTTAAAGTGATAGTGAGAAGTTACAATTTTAATTAATGTGGATGTAATGAATATTTACTTTCATCAGGAGGAATAACCTTTTATTTTCATAATAGTGAATTTATTCTCCAAAGAGGCACATTGTTTTCCTTGGCTGAGTCTTTCATACAGGGGTGGGATTCTGTGGGTTCAGACCAGTTCAGGTGAACCTGTGGTTCCGTTGGTCATCGAAATGTCTGCAGATGTCTGCAGCCCAAATCTGGGAATGGAAACGAATTGTTAGAATACCATAAAACTAAAATAAAGTAAAAATAAAGTTTCATTGTCCAGATGCAAAAAAACTAATTCTGTTGGGTGTCCCTAGGAGTAAATAAGGAGTATTTAGATGAAATTTCAAATAAGTGGGGGCTGAGTTTAGAAGCTTTAATCCATGAACATGGAATTTAAATACTGCAGGCCTAATCTCATGGAACTCTTTGCATAAGAAAAAACTATAATAAATGTTATCATGACTGAGATACAGTAGGTTGCATTTCAGAAACACACTAATGTATACTATTTTTTGTTATTGTTTTTCTTTGATTTGCTTTTCTCTTTAATTGGCACAAATAAATGTATTTATAAAAATATTCAGAAAATATTTCTGCATAAAATGTTATCTAGTTAACAATCTAGGACATACATATTAAGAAGTTAAGTCTTCCTGAGTAACCTACTGATGTCCAGTGAAGCAAGTCTGCTCAGAAGACACATCAAAGAATGTTGCAGCTATTTAGCAATAATACATACTTACAACATAAAGTTTGATGATTCTATTGTTTTCACAACCATTAAGAAGTTGAGAAATGAAGGGTCATTTGTAGTTTCAAAGTTCAGATTTCATATTTGAGAGTATTACTCACCTTATCTTGAAAGTTACAAATGAATGCTGGTACCAAAACAATGTTTACATATTCATTAATAATTAGCAAATCTAGGGCAGAGATGAAATCCAGCAGGTTCTGACAGGTTCTGGACAACCGGTAGCGGAAATTATGAGCAGTTCAGAGAACTGGTAGTGGAAATTTTGAGTAGTTTGGAGAATTGGCAAATACCACCTATGGCTGGCCCCAGAGTTGGGTGGGAATGGAGATTTTGCAATATATTTCCCCCAGGTGTGGGGAGGGAATGGGGATTTTGCAGTATCCTTCCCCTGGAGTGAGGTGGGAATGGAGATTTTGCAGTATCCTTCCCCTGCCATGCCTACCAAGCCAAACCCACCAAGCCATACCATGCCCAGCAAGACATGCCCACAGAACCGGTAGTAAAAAAAATTGGATTTCACCACTGATCTATGCCATTTCAATCAGAATAGAGCTGGAAGGACCTTGGAGGTCTACCTGTCCAACTCCTCTGCTCAAGCAGGATATAGGTGGCTGTCCAGTATTTTCTTAAAAATCTCTAGTGATGAAGTACCCACAACCTCTAAAGGTAAGCTGTTCCATTGATTAGTTGTTCTCACTGTTAGGAACTTTCTCCTTAGTTGTAGATTGTTTCTCTCCTTGATTAGTTTCTATCCATTGTTGTCCTGCCTTCTGGTTATTTGGAAAATAGGTTGACCCCCTGTTCTTTGTGGCAGTCCCTCAAATACTGAAATACTGCTATCATGTCACTCCTAGTCCTCCTTTTCTTTAGACTGGCCATACCCAATTCCTGCAACAGTTCTTCATATGTTACCAGACCCTTCGAAGGAAACACAAACCCATTTCTAGAAACTTCAGGAGGACGTCAGACACACACATACCCCTCTCAAAGGGAACAGCCAGCAACTGGGGAATGGCATGTGAGGGAACAAGAAACAGCATTTTCCTCATAGAGTCATGGGACATGAGTGAAGGTTAAAATTGCTCAGTCCAAATACGACTTCTGATAATGCAGCACTATCAGAAGAAAGAAGAAACTAAACATAACTGATAAAGGAGACAATGCCAGGGAGATCCAGGATGGAAGACAGCACAGAAACCAAAAAGCTAACTACTAAAAAAAGAAGAAAATTATCAATATCGTTTACATAACAAACCAGTATGGTGCCATAATTTTTTTTTAATAAATTTTTTATTTATATCAAATATAGAAAAAACAAAACAAAACATAAAATCTCCACCATTCAAATACAATTACAAACAGTATGTTGATTGGTTAAAATTTGTTTGTGCTCAGTCTCTCATCCCAATTTTCAAATTATTTAGTTTCTCTCGTTTAACAGTTTTATATTTATGTTCACTTAACCACTATTGAACAGAAAGAAAGGTGAATACAAAGGAAAATCACTTCACATATTGTTATTTTTACATATTCCTATTTCATTTTTTATCTCCATGTTTTTTTATCTAGCCATTGATAAATCAAATCCCAAATTAAGTAATATTGTTTATCTTCTTGTTCCCTAATTTCAAATGTCAATTTACTCATTTCAGCACAGTTCATAATTATCTTAATAATTTCATCTTCAGTAGGTATCTTCTCACCTTTCCAATTTTTAGCAAATACAATTCTAGCTGCTGTTAAAACATTCACAATTAAATATCTTATCTCTTTATTGTATATTTCTGGTAAAATCCCTAATAAAAATATATCTGGTTTAAAGTCAATATGTTTCTTTGTCATTTTTTCCAACCATGTGTGGATTTTAGTCCAATATATTTTAGCTTCTACACATGTCCACCACATATGGTAATATGATCCTGGGGTCTGATGACATTTCCAACATTTCTCCGATTTATTCTTGAACATTCTGGCTATTCTTGTCAGGGGTAGATGCCACCTGTAAAACATCTTATACAAATTTTCCTTATATGCTGTAGACATTGTCATTTTATAGTTTTGTAACCATAATTTTTGCCATTTTTCTAAATCAATTCCATGCCCAAAATTTTTCCCCCATGCTAACATTGTCTCTTTAACTTCTTGTTCTTCCAATTTTACCTCTAGCAAGTATCCATATAATTTTTTAATCACATACTCATCAGAACCCATTAAAATCTTATCTAAGTTAGTCATAACATTGTAAATACCTTCTGTAAAGTTCTGTATCTGGGTTGGAAAAAAAAGAGAAAAGAAAGGGACACGTATATGATAGAGGGAACCTGGTTTGTAATATTACATGTGAAAAGGATGCAAATTAAAATGAGTAGGAATATGGATATGTTTTGAGTTCTTTGTAAAAATAATAAATGAATAAATAAGTATGTAAATAGACAAACAAATAAAAATAAAACTACCTCTGCTCTATAATCCAATTGGTTTCTGTTGTGAAGCTCTGGTTCATTGGTATTTTAGTGTCGGTGCTATGAAAGGGGTAACTAATAGCACTTCTCATTGTGTTCCTGGGGCACTTTGCTACTTCCTGACATCGACTGCCTAGAAATACGTCAGCAATCATTCTACGCTTGCTGTAAAATTGACTGAATTGATAAGCAATCCATAATGAAAGAATATGATAATAACAAGAACAACAATAAATTTGTTTGGGTTGACCATGGGCAGAAATGAATATATCATATCTGCAAGAAGTATTCTTAACATACATTGGGATATGCTCAAAATATTGTGCAATGTTCATTGGGCCGTTGAAATACGTAAGTAGTAGCATTTTCTCACCTCTAAATCATTGAAACATATTTTGAAACAGGAGGTGGTGTCTTAATAGTGGAATTGCTTCTTGATAAAGACAGGAGGGGCTTTCACAGCCCACGCCTACTCCTTCTTAATGTTGCTCTTCACTGAAGGGAAAGAACAATCAGCAACTGAGTTGAATGTTCTCCTCTGCAAAGCTGGTTCCCAAGAAGTTGAGTTAAGGAAACATCTTTGATATTATTCTAGGAAGAAAATAGCATTGCCCCTGATTCCTTCCTGTTCCATGTTAAAGAGGAAGTTCCAGCAATCAATGTCATGATTTGTTGATTACAAGTTGATTCTATTCCAGTGTTTCCCCTACTTTTCCTGCTTTGCAGACCAGTAGGGGTGTGTTAGAGGTGATGGTGAAATCCAATTTTTTTTTACTACTGGTTCTGTAGGCGTGGCTTGGTGGGCATGGTGTGGCTTGGTGGGCGTGGCAGGGGAAGGATACTGCAAAATCTCCATTCCCACTGCATTCCTGAGGGAAGGATACTGCAAAATCCCCATTCCCTCCCCACTCCTGAGGGAAGGATACTGCAAAATCTCCATTCCCACCCCACTCCAGGGGAAGACAGCACAGAAACCAAAAAGCTAACTGCTAAGAAAAGAAGAAAATTATCAGTATCATTTACATAACAAACTAATATGGTGCCATAATTCTTTTTGTAGTTATATGTTCAAAATATTGTGCAATGTTCATTGGGCTGTTGAAATAAGTTTGCTAACTTTCTTAACTGAAATTTTCTGGTCTCATCAATTAGCATCAGTTTTTGGAATTTTTGAAGAGAGATGCAGGTTACATTTTCAGATTTTTGAAGGATTGCATAACCACTCTGAGAAGAAAGTAAGGGAAGAAATTAAACATAATTGATAAAGGAGAAAATGCAAGGGAGTTCCTAGATCCGTGATGGCGAACCTATGGCACGTGTGCCACAAGTGTCATGCAGAGCCATATCAATGGCCATGCGAGCGTTGCCCTAGCTCAGCTCCAGTGCACATGCGCGCACTGGCCAACTGACTTTTGGTCCTTCCAGGCCCACTGGAAGTCGGGAAATAGACTGTTTCTAGCCTCCGGAGGTCTACGGGGGGTGTAGTAAAGGCCCGTTTCTCACTCTCCCTAGGCTCCAGAGGCTTTCTAGAAGCCTGGGGAGGGTGAAAATGGCTTTCTCCATCCCCCCGGAGGTTCTCCAGAGGCCAGAAACAGCCCATTTGACAACTTCCGGTGAGACCAGTAGGCCTATTTTTCACTCTCCCCAGGCTCCAGAGGTTTTCTAGGAGCCCCGGGTGGGTGAAAATGGCTTTCCCCAACCCCCAGAGGCCCTCCGGAGGCTGGAAACGGTTGTTTTGCCACATTGACTTACTGGGCCACCCATGCCATTGCCTGCCAAAACCGAGGGGAGCACTGGTGGGGGATCATTCACATGACCCCCCGCACTCCCCCCGCCTCCCTATCCTAGATGGAAGTCAGCACAGAAGCCAGAAAGCTAACCAGTTAAAAAAAAAGAAAAGAAAACCAGTCAATATACTTTAAATAACATACTATTATTGTGCTAGGATTCTTTTTGTATTGAAAACAAATGTTTTCCCAAAATGATCTTTTTTATTGCTTGAGGCCACCAGTCATCCTGACATCTACATTTAAGAAGTGACAGGATCAGAACTGGCGTGGCCGGTTGATTAAGCAACTTCTGTAAACACACGGTCTGCTGTGCTGATATATACCCTTTTTCTTACTTCTTTTGCCTAAAACTGAGGCTTATCCTGAGATAGTCGCATGAAGCTATCATTTGAAAGACTGACTCGGAATCTGCTCAGCTATTGTGTGGGTAAGACTTCAGCCATTAAACTCAGCACTTCTTGTTTCCGAAGCAAGGACTGTCGTATCTGTAAGAGGCTACTAATCTCAGATTTCTCTATCCATTTTTTTACATCTTCTCCTTTATATGGAATTACACCAGCTTTGCCAAGGCCTTTAGAGAAATCTATAGTATCTACAAATTAGACTGTGTAATAGTCAAGAAAAAGGAGGTTGAAAAAAGCAGATGGCAAATAAGACTATTCTCTTTACCTAACTTGATTTCTAGAATTTGCCCAATTAAATTAATATTTAATCTGAAAAATACGTTTATTTTTTTAAATATCCAGTAGTAAATCTTTGTAAATTTTCTATACTGCATGCATATAATAATTATTGCAATAATAGCATTTTAAGTTTGTTTGAATATATTGTCTTGGGTTCCACATCTTTTAAATCCTTTTTTCAAGCTTAACTTGCTATTTTTAAACATTTAAACATCTGGAACGAGCTCCCCCCGGAGATACGGAGGATTCCGGATCTGCGCACCTTCCGCCGCGCGCTCAAGACTCTTCTATTTCATCAAGCTGGCCTGGCCTAAATCTTCTCCCTTTTAAATGTAAATTTTTAATCCGTTTTAAATTACTGGGTATTTTAAATTCAGCCAAATTATTTAATTCATTTTATTCGATTTTAAATTTTTTGTATTTATGTGTTTTACTTCATGGCTGTTCACCTGAGTCCTTCAGGAGTAGGGCAGTATAGAAATTTAATAAATAAATAAATAAATTTGTTCTGAAACTAGGTGCTTAGTTTCATGCCCTTCTCAACACCCCCCCATCTTTCCATATTCTAATAACTCTCTAAACGTTAGCATTTTCTAATTCTTTGAAATTTTCTTTGCATATCTTTCTTAAATAAATGTATATTTGTACTATTGTCAGAAGAATAATTTGGGGTTTCAAGTCGAGCTGGGATTGTGCAAGAGTAAATAAAAATGAGGTTCAGACAGCTGTGAGGAAAGGAGAAATATTTATTTCCAAAAAGCAATAAACATACTTTTATAGGGGAACTTGTCTTGAGTGTGGAAGTGTTGATGTGCTGGGTGACATTTGAGGGGCGTGGGTGCATGTAGGTATGTCATCTATGATATTTATTCTTGTGAACATGCAGTTCTGCTGCAAGACCTAATTTAATTAACTCTTTTTGTGTTTACAGACCTTATCTTTGATATGTGGCTTAGGTCTGGGTAACTTATTTGGGGGGTTGAGGAAGTTTGAGTAAAAGATTTTTCCTCATTTGCTATTTTTACTTCATTAGCTTAGTTTCACCTTACTGTCAATTATCTAGTGAATTCGCTGATTTCTCAGTCCATTGTGGAATCCGTTAATGTTTTAAGGGAAGATTGAAACAGTAGAAAGAATAAAATATATTTTAATATGAAACTTCTGACATTATATATTTCCCCAATTTCCATATTCTAAAATTGGTTGCACTTAGCTGTACATATATACTTAGCCCTCACTCCTACATATTTTCCTGCAACAAAAGGCCAGTTCTTCTCTTTCTGCCTTTTCCCTTTTCTCATCAGTTCCCATTTTCTCAAATAGTTCAAAGGGAAATTTATCTGAACAGTTTTGACACTATTTTCTCCAAGTCAGATATGGAGAACCAGGGGACAGGTACCCTGAAGGGAGGAACAGGGGAAAGCCTCACCTCCAGGGTCCTCGGGAAAAATAAGGTCTGGCAGACATGGAGTTAATGGATGGAGGGCATTAAAGATGAGAAGCAATAGTTTAACTTAAACATATATAAAGGAAGGCTTAGATAGTTGGCTGGAAATGAGGCTGATTTAACAAATCCCTTTCTGGATTTCCCTTTCTTTCACTCTGTTTGCTTTGTTTGTGGGGATGGCCTCATATTCTCTCTGGATTGTGTTTATTGTTTGCCATTCAGCTTGAAAACTTCCAACTTATAAAGGCTACTCCATCCTGCAAATTTACACTTTTTAGAGCTATGTCATATATTTCTTAAAGTGTGCCAACCAGACCTGTATATAAGTACAGAAGTTCCACATTTACTCCTATTCCTTGTTTCTTGGTTTTCAGGTCATTTCATGAGAGCACCTCTAATGCCAGGGCAGCTAAATTTATTCAGGAGCCTGTTCTCTCTTTAATAATGTGTCCCATATTTTATCCTGGGACATCTTATGGACATCTAAATTTTGCCATTTTTACACTCAGGAATTCCAAGTATTTTGGCTGAAGGAAGGTCCTTTTGGTCAACGAGAGAAGCCAAGAACAATGAGTTCACTAGAAGCAATTGGAAATATTCAAACATTCTTTAGCTACCAGCATTCATTTATAACTTTCAAGGTAAGGTGGGTTAATACTTCCAAATATGAACTATTGCTTAACGCATTGTAATATAAATATAAATCAAATTTAAAAAAAAAACTCTCAACTTTAAAATTACAAAAGACCTTCCATTTCTCAGCTTCTTAATGGTTTGAAAACAATAGAAACACCAAAGTTTATGTTGCAAGTATATATTCACATCGTTTCTCCTTTTTTTCTTTAAAGTGAAACAGCACACATGGCTGTCATAAACATTCCTCAACGTTAAGGGGATCTCAGGGCTCTTTGGTGCCAGGATATAGGTTGTAAAATATCTGTTGACACAGGCAATGCTAGTAAATCAAATCCAAGTCTCCCCCTTCTCCCAATTGAATGCCAGTATCACTTTTAGCGATCTGACACAGTGTTTATTATAGTAGAAGGCAGCGTCAACATTCCTTCTTCATTGGTTTAATTATTAAAACATTAATTATTCTCTTTTAACTCAGCAAATTGTTGTGCTGGTAAGAAAGAGGCAGAATCAATATTTTTTTTCTCCCATAAATCTTTGTTTCCCCAATGGTTTGTTTCCGTATTATGTGTATTATCTGAGTTTTTTTACTACAGTAAGGTAGGATCACATATTCTTTTCTTCAGTTTTTTCCTCCACTTGATATCTCCCAATAATAGCATAAAGTACATATAAAAAAACTGGAGTTTGTATCATAGAGTTATGATGGGATATCTGTCTTTCTGTTCGCCTTTCTTCTCCATCAAGGATGCTGATCTTTTGATCTTCCCTTCCCTTCCCGGGACTGAACACATCACCAACCATGGTCCCTGCAGCCTTCAAGGCTGAAAGGTTCCTTCTAAGAAATGGGGCCCAGGATAAATAAATCTGGTTGCTCAGATCGTGCAGAGTATTGTTCTGCCCCAGCTACGGACCCCAAAGAACGCAGCACACACAAAGTCTGTACAAACCTTAGTTTACTAAATTAAATCAGTCTTTTTTAAACAAAGGCTGTTAATTAACTTTCTACAAGAATCCAAAGAATAAATAATCGTAATCTTACTATGGTTGGCAGAAAGCCCAGGAGCAATTTTCAGAGAACTAAGATCAAGATGCAAAGGAGAGTGAACGAAGTTGTTCCCTGCAAATTGCTTCAGTCATCATCCTTCCTTAAATAGGCTAAGGGAATGGCCAATTAGCCCAAAGCCTTACTCTTGAGGAGACCTCCTCCTGAGGAGCCACTCCTGCTTTTTTGCAGCTCTGCGCGCCTATGCATCGAGAAGAGGCTCCTCTTCTTCTTCCTCTTCACTTATGGGAGCTTCTGGAGGTTCTGAAGGCCCTGGCTGAATCCCCGCCTCTGGCACCAAATCTTCTCCAGTCTCCTCATTGTCTGACTCGAGTGCCAGATGCACAGGCTGCTGACACAGCACCACACCAGCCTCCTCGCTGTTGAATCAGCTACTAGTTGCACAGGCCACTGACGGGCCACAACAAGTATCCACTAATTCTCTCTCTCTCTCTCTTCCTCTTTCTTTCTCCCTTTCTCTCTCTCTCTCTCCCCTCTCTCTCTCTTTCTCTCTCTCTCCCTCTTTCTTTCCCTCTCTCTCTCTCTGCACGTGTACGTATAGATTTTGTCTGAAACTCCACTAATAATTTGAACAAAGCCCAGGCTGAAGAAGAAAAGAATATTACTTGTTTTATTATTTTTATTTTATTTATTATTTTATTAGTTGTTTCTACACCCACATTCAGAGGAGATCTGGCTGCACAAACAAATGATTATCTACAGATGCCCTTTCTCCTCTTGGTAGGGCTGATTAACATAGCCCGGCTTGATTCCTTCTTCAGTAAACCACACAAATAGGTTCTGGGATTGTTGGATGTGAACTGAGAGGAAAGCCATGGCTTTCGTTCTTGCTCTCTGTTTCTTTCTAGATCATGTCAACTGGCTGTGAGCTGGGTGTCTTTGATCTTTTGAGAGAGTCGAGGGAACAGCTGTCTTCCACAACTATTGCTGAACGCTTGAGCACCAGCCCCATCGGGATGCAGAGGCTGCTGGAGGCCTGTGTGGGGTTAAAGCTCCTGACACTGGAGTGGAAAGATGGCAAAGGTAATTGTGGAAGAAACAGGAGGCAACTGGAATGGCCAACAATTATTCCATAATGATGGACAATAGATGACTGCAACTGTTGAGCTTGACAGATCTATTGACCCCAAATCTAATGAAATTTGGAAAAAAAAAAAACAGCCATTGAACTTGGCCAAATGACAGGTCCTTTCAGATTGTGTGGCAAGGTTTTTCAGAAGAGGTTTGCCATTGACTCCTTCCTAGGGCTGAGAGAAAATGACAGCCCAAGGAGCTGGCTTCATGGGACAGGAACTTATAGTCTCCAAGAAATTCAGCATCATGCCTTAACACCTACATCAAACTGGCTCTTATATTATTATGATATGCTTGAGATAAATATAGCATAATTTGTTTTTAAAGAAGTAGGCTAAGACACTATTGTGAATTGAAAGATAGTTACATGCAATGATATCAGTATTTTTTGTGGTTGTTGTTTTTAGATCTTTATGGAAACACAGACTTTACCAATCTCTACCTGGTCAAATCAAGCCCAAAGTCTCAATATCTTTCCATAACATTCAATTCTGAAGTTTTGTATCCATCAATGCAATATCTGCCTGATGCTGTGAGGTAAACAGATCCAGCAGGGAATTTCACATTTTGGATGTTAAATATGACATTACCACATTTACTTCCTTAATTTCAATGGCACTGAATTATCATCACTGAATTTTCTCATTCAGATCAAAAGATATTCTTTTATAGTTTCCTTCTTTTAGAAAAGTCGAGGACCATGTTCTGCCTTTCTGGGTTGTTTTAGAGCATGGGTGTCAAACTTGTGGCGTCATGGCAGTGCCACATGACATATCAGGACTTTTTCCCCTTCTCTAAACTGGGTGTGGGCATGGCCAGCGCATGACGTATCTGGCCACAAGTTTGATAGTCCTGTTTTAGAGTCTCTCTTCTCCCATTTCAAAACATGGGATTTACACTATTTCTGTAAGGTCCTGCAAATAATTTAACAACCAGTTCTCTGCCCTAATGACTGGCTGGGTAGGCATGGCCTGGTGGTCATGTGACTGGGTGGGTATGACCAACTCAATGTCACTCATCACATCCAGCCCCGCCACTCTCCCTTTTCCCAGGCCTTGGGCCTATATGCAACACCTCCATAAATGAAGGTGGAGATGCAAATGCTCCCCCCCCCATGAAAGGTTGGGGAGAGACCAGCAAAGCATTCTGCTCCCATCACCAAGGAAAATAAGACATCGGAGGCTGAGCTTATTAAAAGCAATATATTGTGTCATAACAGCCAAGGTTTCACACCTGAGATGGCAGAGGCAATAAATCCCAGTAAATCCTCAGAAGTGATTTACAATTAAAGCCCATTTGCACCCCAAAAATAATAAATAAATAGCAGAAGGAGAAGAACTGACAATACTTCTGTGCAGGCAATTCTGAAAGAGACTAAAATAAAGCTAATGAGGAAATCAGGTAAGACGGCAAGAAGAGCCCTGTCTTGCTCCGTGCACCCCAAAATAATAATATCTCCCCAAAAATAAGGCCAAGCACTTATTTCGGAGTTCAAAAAAAATATAAGACAGGGTCTTATTTTTGGGGAAACATGGTAGTGACTGAACAAGTATTTGAGCTACTCTATCTGATGTATATCTTATGACAAAAAGAGTTTTTTACCTACAAATCCATCAACAGTAAATTCAAAAACTTGCTGAATTGGGATTGCCTCTGAATCTTCCTTTAAACCAAAAATATTAAAATAATTCTTTTTTTAAAAAAAAGAGAAAACAAAGGATTTGTAGCTGGTAATTTCATTAAAAAGGCAGCAGTATAGAAGTCAGTTGGGTTTTTTGCCTTCATCTGGGGAGTTTCTTCAACTAACCAACTTAATCAACATGACTGTACAGCTATTTCTTAGTAGAAATGCATTAGATCTCTGTATTTGAGAGAATGAAGGACAACTGGCTTAGTAATGAAACCTTCAGAATAAAATCTGAACTATGAAAATTCAGTACAACATTCAGGATCTACTTCTATGCAGAAGAAAATGCCAGGATGATTGTCTTGTTCCTTTCTAACTTTTTTAAAATTCTTTTAGGAAAGGGAAAAATCAGATTCCATCAATATATGGCTCTCCCTCACACAAGACTTTTGACGTCATGTACAGGTAACATAATTTTAGAGAATGGTCATTAGAGAAACTGTTTTGTGGGCAACTAATCAATATGATCATAATTTTCTCTATCATATGATCCTGACTCATCACCATATTCAGCTTCTCTTTTATGGCACTGTAATATTGTTGTGGCACATCTAATTGACCAGGTGTGTCTTTATATACAAAGCATAGGTCTGCAATTAGAGTACCTATATGAATCTGCTTTGTTTCAAGAACGTTATAACATTTTCCACCAAAATAATAGGAGTGCTCCATGTATCACATGCAGATTTTTCCAAATTCTGATTAGCATCATTTAAGTGATGCTGTAAAAAGAATTCCTTCAATTCAAACATAAATTGATATGTAAAACAATAACAACAATAGCATTTTATAAAGTTATATTTAGAGGTGTTTATTTTAATTCTAGATCAAAGGAAGAGTTACAGTTCTTCTCCAATCACATGAATGAGCTCTGGCCTGCGGTAGGAAGAGAAGTGCTTTCTGCCTTTGACCTGTCCCAGTTCCCACTCATTTGCGATCTAGGTGGTAAGTATCACAAGTGTTTTGCCATCTTCTTCAAATGTTGGGCCAATGGGTTGGATGGGTTCTTAACTTCTCTTACAAATCTTTTCATCTGTATTTGGAAAAGGAGAAATCCTTAGCAGACTTTGAGAAATAGTCCTGTTTTAAAGATTATTAACAGTGGAGAAATTGGCTGAGGTGTTTGAAAAGAGGAGAGAGTTCTGAAAAGAAAACAGTCATCTCCACCTCCCCTTTACCAGTGCTGACCAAGGATGGGAAGGAGAATAGCAGGCTGATGAGTAAAGGACCCTTAAACTGGATTTGCCTGGGAACATTTGGGGGATGCAAGAGATCATGACTGAAGATGAGGTGGAATTTGTGCCCTTTGAGACGATGTTCAGTTTTTGTCTGTTCAATCTGCATCAAATGCCAAAGTTTTTGCATCTTTTGAATATTCAGTGCATCCAGCCTAAGGAATTTTTATAAGCTGGAAGGACCATATGAAAGTTGAGAACAAATTGACTCAATCTCTGTTCTTTTTCCCTATTAGTATTTGTTTTCCATGAAGTAAGTAAGTAAGCTTTTATTGCGGTCAGAGACCAAGTTAAAATACACATAGAAAGGGAGTATATTTTACAATTATAGATAGATCATGTGACAGTACACCATCTACTGCCTCAGATACAATCTGTACTGTCAATTGTTTTCCATGATACAAAGCATAGCAGATTTGAAACAAGATTGTCTCATTTTTGAAATTATTAGATTCCAATTAATCTGAAGTGCAGCTGTAGAGAAATTAATAGGCAGGTAGCTTCATAGAAAAAAGCTGGACATGTACAAAATTTTGTTCTGAAGTTACTTAATTACATTTTGTTGTGTATTTAAGGAAACTTTGGTGGCTTAGCTAAGGAATTAATTTCACTCTACCCAAAATGTATTGTGACCATTTTTGACCTCCCTGGAGTAGTGGAAGCCTCCAAGAACCATTGTTTGTCTTCAGAAGAGACCCGAATCACTTTCCATGCAGGTAAAAGATGCGATATTCCTTGTGGGTTGAACTCATGTCTTGCTAAGCACAAGAAACTTTCCCAGGGAGACTGGATTCTGTGGTTTTTAAAGGGAAAAAAAGATTATTCTATCAGAATAATCTGGAAGACATGGTGCTAAATGAGATTTTACTTTTATAGGTGATTTTTTTAAAGATCCATTTCCTGAAGCGGACCTGTACATTTTGGGCAGGATTCTGCATGACTGGTCAGATGAGAGTTGTTCGCAGCTGCTACATAAAGTGTACCAGGCCTGCAAACCTGGTAGGTGTTCTTTAATCATAGAAAGTTACATCTGGCAAAGTTCATACATGGCTCAAGTTTTGAACTGTAAAATCTCCATTCCCTCCCCACTCCAGGGGAAGGTTGCTGAAAATCCCCATTTCCTCCCAATCAGTTGGGACTCGGCAGAGAATATATTGGGGCGGGGCCAGTCAGAGGCGGTATTTACCGGTTCTCCGAACTACTCAAAATTTCCACTACTAGCTCTCCAGAACTGGTCACCTGCTGAATACCAGCTCTGCTAGCAATGGCTAAGAGCAGGAAAATTGAATAAAGAGACAAAGGAGCTAATTCTGGCTGCACAAGAATAAGCCTTAAGAACAAATGCATTCAAAGTCAGAACTGAGAAGACAGCTCTGCAAAAAAGTTGAAGAAACAGTGGACCACCTAGTTGGCTGCTGGCAGACTATCACACAGACTGACTACAAATACTAACAAAATAGCAACAATGGTGCACTGGAATATGTGCAAGAAATACCATTTGCTGCAAGCAAGAACTGATCACAAAATAGACAAATAGAAAATGAAACTAAAGTGCTCTGGGACTTTAGAATTAAAGCAGAAAGGCACCTGCCACATACTACTGTAACGCTCTCTACATGGTGCTCCCCTTGAAGAGCACTCGGAGGCTCCAACTGGTCCAGAATGCGGCCACGCGGGTGGTTATGGGGGCGACTCGGCACACCCACGTAAAACCCTCCTGCGCGAGCTTCACTGGCTCCTGGTGGTCTTCCAAGTACGATTCAAGGTGTTGGTCATCACCTTTAAAGCACTCCATGGCTTAGGACTGCCATATGAGACCCCCTTCTGCCAGCAACAGCCTCCCACCGGCCAATACGCTCCCACAGAGAGGGGCTCCTCAGGGTGCCGTCGGCCAAACAATGCCGACTGGCGACACCCAGGGGGAGAGCCTTCTCTGTGGTGGCACCAGCCCTCTGGAATGAGCTGCCCCTTGAGATTCGTCTCATCCCTGACCTGCGTACCTTTCGCCGTGCCTTGAAGACCCTTTTGTTCCAACAAGCCGGCCTGGCCTAATACGAATTTTAGAATGGGTGTATGTTTGTTTTAATCTATGGGCCAAATTTTTATATATTCAATTTTAAATTGTTTTAAATTTTGTAAATTTATATGTGTTTTAATATGGCTGTACACCGCCCTGAGTCCTCCGGGAGAACGGTGGTATAGAAATCTAATAAACATACCATCCCAGATTTTGTTGATACGAAAGACAAAAAAGTACAAATACTGGACCTTGCAAAACCTGGGAGACAACAAAATAGAACAGAAAGGCTCAGAGAAAATCACAAAATACAAAGACCTGCAATTGAATTAGAATGAATGTGGCAGATGAAAGCAAAGATAGTATCAATATTAATAGGCACCTGAGGTACAATCTCAAAACATCTGAGGCACCACCTGAACAGAATCAGCATTGACAAAATCACCATCAGACAATTGCAAAAGGAAACTTTACTTGGAAGCAACTTACATCCTTCGATGATACCTTTAGTGCCATCAAATAATATATCAAATAACAGTATCAACCTATCCCAGGTGCTTAGTGGATAATAGGTGGATAAAAATGCCAAATCTAATCTAAACATCTGCTGACTGTGCAGCCAACATTCATGCAAGTTAAAAATTGGTCTTTGTTGAATGTGCAGGAAAGAAAACATGAATATTAATATAATATAATATTATATTATAATATATGGGGGAGTGATGGCTGAGCTTGTTACCTGGAAAGCTGACAGCCAGAGTTCGAGATCTGAGTGTCACATGATGCGGTGAGCTCCGTTATTTGCTCCAGGTTCTGCCAACATAGCAGATCATAAGCATGCAGATGCAAGTAGATAAATAAGTACTACTTCAGTGGGAATGTAACAGTGTTCTAAGCAGTTCAGTGTACAGTCCAGGGGTGGGTTCTACTTACCTTTACTACCGGTTCGCAGCGGGACTGGGGGCCGCGCCCGTGCCCACACACTTTTCTGCACATGTGCAGAAGCATTTTGATGACATTGGGGTCTGTGGGCAGAGCCTCCCGCCGGTTTTACTACCAGTTCTTTAGAACCTGTGCGAACAGGGAGCAACCCACCACTGGTGCAATCATGCTGGCTACATGACCAGGGAAGTTTCTTTGGACAACATTGGCTCTCTTGGCTAAGAAACAGAGATGACCCCCTAGAGTTGGTCATAACTGGACAGGGAAAACCTTTACCTTTACAATATAATGTAATGAAACAAAAAGAATTTTGGTAAGGAAAAGCTTTATTCTAGAAAAGATTGAGGGGAAAGCCTTGGCAAATACGCAGAATATCTGTAAATTGACAAAATATGCAAAAAAACCCACAACTGTGGTTATCTGTTGGCAGGAATAAATATATTTGAAAGAAGGATTCATAACAAAAATTGGGTATTTTCAAAATATGTAATGTTCATTGCGCTTTTGAAATAAGTACTATATATTTTGGAACAGGTGGTGGTGTCTTAATAGTGGAAATGCTTCTTGATGAAGACAGAAGAGGGCCTTTAGCAGCTCACATCTACTCCTTGTTAATGTTGCTCTACACTGAAGGAAAAGAACGGTCAACAACTGAGTTTAATGTGCTTCTCCGCAAGGCTGGTTTCCAAGAAGTTGAGTTAAAGAAAGGAAGCCTCTTTCATATTATTCTAGGAAGAAAATAATGTTGCTCCTGATTCCTTCCTGTTGAATGTTTAAGAGGAAATTTCAGTAATCAAAATCTTGCTTTGTTAATTACAGATATATTCTATTCTTTCCATGTCCACAGATTACAGAGCTGATCCTTTTCTTATCACAATATGATTTCACCATAACTAGGGATTCCTGACAATGTCTGCAAAAATCCTGAGGACCAATTCTGCGCAATAAAGAGATAGATGAAACTTTTATCATATGACAAAAATTAATCTCTTTATAGATCTTTAGTTCTTCCCATTTTTACAAACCGAGACAATCTTCACACATTAAACAAACAACAAAGTACAAGAGAAAATCTGAAAGGTCAGGATCAGGATTCTGAAACACACACATTGCTTTGTTAATTCAGTATTTTTAGCCCTTCTAAAAAGCAATTAAGCCCTAGAAATTCTGCAACACACACAGGATGCCATAGATGCAAACAACATAAATAAAAATATTAACTGTAGGATTGCAAGTCTAGCCACTAGGAAATTAACAATTAGTGCTGGGAACTCAAGGTTTTTAGATAATGGCTATTGTAAAATAACAACCTCAGAAACATTATCTCATTCTTTCTACCCTAGTTATGTATTTCAATATATCTGAATTAACCTGATCAGTAATATAACCTTATTAATGCTGTATCATATTAGTAGTGATTAATTGTAAAGAGGGCTTATAATTTCACCAACATTTCAACTTTATTATTTTCTATCACTGTCAATAAACTAATCTGCATATTGTGTTAGTGTTTTAATTGTGTCCTGATCTCTGGTTCAAACACACTATACCCCTAGGATATTCTCATAAAAGAGCTATTCCATAAACAAATCTCATCCAATATTCCAGTTCTCCAGATACAGGAGCCAAGTTCAGAAACTCTATGACTTTGTTGTAAGACTATTTATTCTCCTTCTTTGCTTTCTGATCATAACCAGGTAGCAAGCCAGAAAAAGATAAATGTAATTAGAATTGCCTTGAGCTGGATTCTAGCCTTATGCCAGGTCCAACGAATTTAATCCTGTCAACTGATTTTCCCATTATTTGGGGTACTTTCCAGTCTATAGAGTTGAGGATGTTCCAGTCCCAGATAACTTATTTCTGGAGAAAAGTATCAAGATGATCCCTTTACAGCTTTATATAACAGCTGAAAGAGAGGGATTTAAAGCTATTTAAAGTGACTAGGACTGTATAACATGAAGAACCTGCTTTGATCCCATTAATAGATAACCTATATCTGAAAATGGGGTCCTTAGAAATTTCAACTGAACCAGTAGTGGGTTGCTCCCGGTTCACACCAGTTCGCAAGAACCGGTAGTAAAAATTTGTAGTTGTTCGGAGAACCGGTAATAACATTGGCGGGCACGCCCTCGAACCGGTCCCTGGCCCGGTCGCTGCTTGCTTACCCCGCCCACCTCATCAGAGGCTTTGAAAAAAAATTTTTTACTTTTAAAAGCATTTTTTCTACAACCTCTTCGGCTGAAAAAATGCTTTTAAAAATTCATGTCAGGTATGCTTCCTTCAGTACTCAGGAAAGGAAAACCCAAACTCAATCATTTAGAAGAGAATAGTACTTTTACTGAATATGAAAAGATCGCAACCCAAGTAAAGCTGGAAGTGAGCAAAACGCGCGAAATGCATCTACTAAGCTCCTCCCCCCCCGTGTCCATCAGTCATCAGCCAATCCAAAGGTCTTCCAAAGGTCAGGTGGCAACACGTCTGGCAGCGTCATTCATCAGGAATGTAGGGCAGTTGGTCAACCGTCCCCTTTGAAGATCCACTTTCGTTTCTTATGAAGACACGTCCTACAAAGGAAAAAAAACACCTCCTGCATCTTCCCACCCTTTGCCCCATAACTATCCCTCCCCCGTTTCTTATGGCAGCTGAAGCAGGCAAAGCTGAGGCTGACATTCGGCCCCTCTTGCAGAAGAGACGTTATTCCTAAATAAAAGGAAAGAAAAGAGAGAGAAACAGAATATGTACAATAATTATGGGTATTTGGCATAGAATTGCTGTACTTTCTTGGGAGCTTGGACATCTCATTTATTCACCCATTCAGCCTGAGACAAAGGGAAATGTTTCCAGGCAATCAGATATTGGACTTTTCCATGGTGTTTTCTAGAGTCCAAGATTTCTTTAACTTCAAAATGTTGCTCCCCCTCTATGAGAATGGGAATTGGAGGGGTACTTTGGTCAGCCCTTAGGGGAGATGAGTGTTCAGGTTTCAATAAACTAACATGAAATACAGGATGTATACGTCTCAACGTTTTTGGCAATTCCAATTCAACTGTTACTGAATTAATCAGTCTAATCACACGAAATGGTCCCACATACTTAGGCCCTAGCTTTTTGGACTTCTGGGTAGTCTGTAAGTATTTAGTAGATAAATAGACTTTATCACCCACTTTATAAATGTGAGCTGGGGACCTTTTCTTATCAGCTTGCACTTTATGGGCCCGGTGTGCCTCATCTAATGCCTTCCGAGTCACTGCCCATGTGATCTTTAATTGTTCAATCCAATCCTTGAAACTCTCCAAAAGAGCCATTTCTGACCAGCCTGTCATATAGGGTGCCAGTTCACGAAACTCTTGGATATACTCTGCCACCGGCCTCCGGCCCTGCTGAATACTTTTCATTCTGAGTCTCGCCTTTCGTTCAGCTAAGTGGTCTTCAAAACGCCTCCTGAGGCCCCCCATGAATTGGTTGCAATTTCTCAGCAAGACGGAGTTGTTATTGTGGAGAACCACCATCCACTCAGCAGCTACTCCCTCTAGGGCATTCGCGACGCTTCTGACTTTAGCAGCCTCTGATTCGTAATCCTCCCCCCAATCTTGCATGTGGTTCCACACCTGGGTCAGGAAAAATCCCAAGGCTTTAGGATTCCCATCAAACTTCCCAGGAAGGGGGGGGATTTTTGGCTTTTTACGTCTGCGGGGGGGGGGGCTGCAAGGCTGGGGTTCTCTGGCCGGCTGTATCTCTCCCTTGGGCTGCCGAAGTTTGGGATTTTTCTTCCTCAAATTCTTCCTCTCTCCCACAGGCTGTCTCTTCTGGCTCTCCCCTGGGGCCTGCCTTCCCCTTTTCCACAGAAATCCCAAAAGACTCACGTTTTTTTCTGCTTTCTTCTACATCACGGATAAGCTGCAAGGCTTGGTCTATCATGAGACGTTCCTTCTGCTGTTGCATCCACACTGCCTCTTTTTTACAGGGTCTGGAAGTCGTCACTCCCCGGGGGTCTTCCCCCAGTCTGGCAGACTCCCCACTCCTTTCGACCATCTAGCTTCCTCCGGCTCTAAGCGGATTCTTTCCAACCATTCTGCTGTCTCTTTCTCTGTTTGAAGAGTGATTGCCGTTGAAAACGCTGCCCCGCTTTGCTCTTCTCCATCAGTCTCTCGATCTGACATATTTTGGATTTACAGTCCCCTCGGTTTTTGTCCGGGATGACTGGATGTGACTTCCAGCTTAATGTCAGGTATGCTTCCTTCAGTACTCAGGAAAGGAAAACCCAAACTCAATCATTTAGAAGAGAATAGTACTTTTACTGAATATGAAAAGATCGCAACCCAAGTAAAGCTGGAAGTGAGCAAAACGCGCGAAATGCATCTACTAAGCTTCTCCCCCCCCCCCCGTGTCCATCAGTCATCAGCCAATCCAAAGGTCTTCCAAAGGTCAGGTGGCAACACGTCTGGCAGCGTCATTCATCAGGAATGTAGGGCAGTTGGTCAGCCGTCCCCTTTGAAGATCCACTTTCGTTTCTTATGAAGACACGTCCTACAAAGGAAAAAAAACACCTCCTGCATCTTCCCACCCTTTGCCCCATAACTATCCCTCCCCCCGTTTCTTATGGCAGCTGAAGCAGGCAAAGCTGAGGCTGACAGTTCAGTTCATGGCATTTGAAAACTGCCTTGCAGACTCCTTAACTAACACAATAGTTCCTCCTTTTGCCTCAATCCTCAACTCTGAAAGTGATAATGAGAAGTTACAATTTGAATTAATGTGGATGTAATGAATATTTACTTTCATCAGAAGGAATATCTCTTATTTTCATAAGAGTGGATTTATTCTCCAAAGAGGCACCTTGTTTTCCTTGGCTGAGTCTTTCATACGGTGGTGGGATTCTGCCGGTTCAGATCAGTTCGGGTGAACCTGTAGGTCTGACAATTAGCTGAGAGCGAACTGGTTCCCTCCGATGATCAGCTGGGCCCACCCGCCTGCCCCTGCGCTATACCAACCTATATTTCCTTTGTTTGAAGCCCAAATGATAGGTGTGGCAGAGCAGATTGCTGCACCTCAGCTGTTTTACTCACTGGGGCTGCAGTAGAAGGTAAGTTTTAGAGCTGTTTTCAAATGCACTGCACACATGGAGAGCGCGCACTCAGCGAACTGATTGTTACACCAGTTGAATCCCACCACTGCTCTCATAGGTAAAACAGACCACTCAGTGGTCGACTCCACAATCAGGCAAGAATATCCAATGCAGCCTCTGAGCACATTTGTATTTATTTATGTAAGTTATCAGAAAGGCCACCTGACTGCAATTTTTGTCATTGCTAGAGTTTCTAATAAAATTTGTTACATGCTTTTGTTGGAAGGAAAGTCCATCTGATTCAGTTCCAAGCTGGGAAAAAGACCCTGGAATACCATATAGGCTGATTGGAAAGAAAGACTCTGTTTATTGATGAACAGAACCACAGTGTATAGTTCTGGGGCACCTGACCAATTGGTTTAGTTTTACATGGGCTTTTATACATTTTACAGCATTTTGTAATCTGGAGGCTTCTTTTGTGTCTTTTTATTATTTGATTGGTTTTACTTGTTTCGCAAAGACTCATGATGAGTCTTAATTATCAGCTTCCTGAACCTAATTCTGTCAGGCATGTGTAATTGATTTTATCCTCTTATCTATTGCCTCTACCCTGCCTTTCTTAATGGATAGGTATTGTTTCCATTTCCCTCAATGTCCTGTCCTTAATCCCATCACCTTGGAGCTAAAGATGTTTTGTTTGTGAATAGGCACATTAAGAAAGACTGGGGGCTGCTTTCTAAGACTGGGGGCTGCTTTCTAAGACTGGGGGCTGCTTTCTGCCTCTAAGAACATGTTTCTCCATTTCTCCTTTAGGGAAATATAATATTCTGCTTCTTTTAATATTTCCAAAAATATTTCATTTTTCAAGGGGGGCTTCCCACACTTTCCCATAACAGCTTTCTTTTCTTTTTCTTTCTTTTTTTGTTAATTCTGGATACTATCCTCATTCCTTCCCCATTTTTCCATTTCTGCTGCTAACCAAGCATGACCTGAATTCTTGGTCCTGGAAAAGGTCTTCAGCATTTATTCTTCAACTGGGGTAAATTAGGAAGAATTGTTAATTGATTCACCATTGTCATTTTGTCTGTTGGGCATAAGAATCTGGCTACGGATCTTCAACGGCTCCTTATGTACCTTTAAATCCATTTGCATGCTATTCTTTCCCACAAAGGTCATGCTGATATTCAGGAAGATCTTAAAGTCGCCAGTATTTCAGATTCCCACATATAAAACTGCATCATCACCAGTTGCTGCTTTATGAATATGGTAACATTTACTATGCTTCACGTTTCCATTTATTTTCCCACCTTTAAATGAGCGTCTGCAGAAGAAACAGGGCGAAACAGAAACAGGTCGGAAAAGTTGAAGCCTTTCTCTGGTGTTTTGCTGCCATCAAGTGGTCATCCAAATGTCTGCAGCCCAGATCTGGGAATGGAAACG